TCACTAGGCGATTACCGTCATTTAGGAGGGCGGCTCAAACTCTGTATTGCCCTCAAAATAAAAGCTGTCGGGCCAATAATGGTCATTATCCGCCCGACAGGTCATTAGCGCCCGACAGCTCAAATATGTTCAAATATATATTCTCATATGAATACCACAAATTATTTTAATGAAAATTGCGGTTATTGCAACTGAAAGAAGTAGGCGGTTCTGAACAAACAGTTTTTGATTTATATTTTATTTACAATACTTGTCATAGACCGATGCACGACCGATTGCACATTTGATGCGTTTTCGCTATGTAATCGTACGGCGTACCTATCCTTACGCGTGAAAGTTCACATTGATAACGCAAGACCCGTTGAACGTTGCATTCGGGAGCAGTGACGACAGAGCTGTTCTCGCCGTTACCAGTTGCTGGCTTTGACGGACTTCCGATGGGTCAGGCACCCGATGTTCCTGTTCGTTCATGTTCAACCAGTCATCCACTTCCATCCCACCGATGGTCAGATTAAAGTTGGGCTTTTCTTCGCACAACCGTCGTGAGGTAGCAGGCCCTCCGTTCTGTATCACCGTGGCGCTGCACCCTGGGACTACACTTGCGGCTGTGTCGGACTGCCTGGTCATCGTTTGTGCCAATATCTCAGAGCAACGCCTTTTTTGAGGAACTGACATGTCGTCAATGTAATGTGAAAGGCTTGCGGTCCTTTTGTGTTTTGTTACTTTAACGATATCTTCAGCTGCCACTCCAGCTTGATGCAATGTCGTGACGGTGGTGGCACGAACGCTATGACATGTATAGCGTTGTGATAGCTTAGCGCTATCAGCTATCCTCTGCATGATTGTTGACAGGCTGTTCTTCCCCATTGCTTCGTTTCTGAACCAACATTCATCTTGCGTCCATGCTCTCTTTGGTGTTTGGAACAGCCTATCACTATTATGATTGATCTTTTGCTGGTACATCTTGAAAACTTCTACACCAGGCCCGTACATCCTCTGAGGCCTGTTTCACTAACAAATAAAGTGTGTAATTACAAAGAAAAAACTTGAGTTTAAAAGAAATAATTACCAACATTTGAAATTTGGATTTCACGAAACCTTCGGGCATGAATTTTGAGTTTAAAATTTGCAAACTTTTTTACAAGAAAAAGTTTGCTAGAAAACACGGGAATCGCAAACTTTCTGTTTCACGAAGATATATATATATATATATATATATATATATATATATATATATATATATATATATATATATATATATATATATATATATATATATATATATATATATATAGGTAATAAGGTAGGGGAGAGTGGGGCAAAGCGGCCACCCTAACGCTTCTCACGATGCCAACGCTTGATTTTTAAACTTGGAAAGATTCTTTCTATACCAATGTGATCCCTATTAAGTTGTCTTTTATTTCAACTGCGTTTTATTTCCAAAGGCGTTCACATATGGGAGATATTGACAAAACTTTAAACCTATGCATATTGGCCACTTTGCCCCATACCCTGAGGCAAAGCGGCCACCGGCGTCTTCTCAAGTCCCGATATGAGAAACAAAATAGTTGCCTCGTGTAAGACTAGGGTATTTGATGGTGACAAGGTTTAAGCGAGGATGGATGTTTGCTTTGTCAGCATCCCACCTGTAGGTAAACAAAGAAAGGATTTTCATGAAAAACATTTAATTGCATTATTTGGTAACTCCTGCAACTGAAAAGTGGCCAAGATGAATGCATGACGACACATTTGAATATAAATAATGTTTTTTTATCCAGATAGACACAACTTTTGGCCAATTGGGGGTGGCCACTTTGCCCCGGCCACTTTGCCCCGCGCATACCGTCCGAGGCAAAAATATTCCAGCTTAGCTATTAGTGGGGTAAAAAACATTAAAATTGGTAGAATACATGTACGATAGCCATGCAATGCATGGACAAGAGCGCTTATAAAAATTCCAAACGGTTATGGAATAACATAACATTTAAAAATTGTAAACATAGTTGGTAGTCTGGCAAGAAATGCTTTTCCGTGTTTCACAGAACAATGGTGATGGGCCTGAAACCCCGGTTTGGCTCATTCGAACGACCGTGAAGAGAAGTATAATTGGAAACCATAAATTGGAACTGACGCCAGCTATGAAGGGCTAAAACGATGGGTGGCCGCTTTGCCCCGGGTGGCCGCTTTGCCCCACTCTCCCCTACCGATGGGGAATGGATTATGGTGTGGAACTCACCCCTCGCCGTCTCGGCATTAAATTTATTAACAGACTCTCGCGAAAAAAAAAACTAGCATGCGCGCTGCTACGAAAGGTAGACACTGGTATCCGAGTCTAAGACTACAGGTTAACCGATGACCTCTGAGCTCAGGTCAAGTGCTCCAACGAAGGGACTTTTGGTAAATGACTTCGCCAAAATGGCCACAGCCGTTATTAGGGCACATCGCGTTCGTCACTCATTTCCAGGCGCGTCAAAAGATACAAATTTTGTTTGGGTGAGGTCAACTTAGGGTGTTAACGTCAGGTCAAGGTCAGGTCAAAGTTATTTAGGTCAAGCAGCTGACTGAAGAAGGTTTAATTGCATGTCGATCCATTCAGCAAGTCTCCCTGCGTCCAATAAGGTACGTACTCACGTCTCAGACTCGTGGTAAGTGACCTGACCTGACCTGAAAATGCGGTTGTCACAAGATTTGACTTGATTAAAGGTTACGTGTGCCTGTTTTCAGCTCTCTATCACTAGTGCGTTCCGAGCAATCGTGAAAAACCGTCATGGGTGCGGTAACCCCTTCCCTTTTAGGGGTGGCTAGGGTCAAACGATTCATTATTTCTTAGCTTCATGAATTAATGCAATATAGTATAATATCAATAATCATGTACATATTATGATTTCAAAACCTTGACAAATTGAGCTGGACCACAAGCCCAGCATATAGCCAGACCAGACCGCATATGGCCCGGGTCTGTCGGGCCGTTATCAACGAGATCGTGGATCTGCAATCTGCATGGGATCTAACGTGACACACATTTCACTACCGCCGACGGCACCGGCCGCTTCATGAGGATAAAGGGCGGCACGCCCTGAGCACAAACGTCAACTTTGGATACTTGACCTTGGCTTCTAAAAATAGTTCCATGAACGTCGCATGCTTGTAGCAGCCGCCAAATCACGAGCATGTAAGCTCTGGGCTGAGATTCGGCAACATTCCCACCGCCGTCCGTCCGAATGACACGCATGCACGGGTACGTATAGTACTTTATTGTTTCAGGATATTTTCAAAGCTATGCGATTCTAGTTTTATAAATCACTCGGCTGTGAAATAGCTTTTCTGGTGAGCTAGCGATTGAATCTTCATTTTCGTGTCGAAGCCGAACATTATACCTATGCCTGCTGTCTGCCCAGGGTCCCACCCTGCAGGCTGTGACACGAGATACACGATAAGCACATATGTAGTACACTCAGTCCCGTGGGTACACAACGCGTGGTGAGTAAAAGGTCTGCCTCGCCTGTCTGGTATCGCATTTCCGCTGACTCCCTAAACACCTAAACACTTGGCTCGTTTAGCTGGCGCGCTCCCTCCCGCCCGACTCGTCAGCACAGCATCAGGGTCTGACCTCCGCACCGATGTAGCTCGCCGAGCCGCGCGTGGCTGCTGTGGCTGCTACAGTGCAGTCGGCGCCCAGCGGGCCGGCCCTCAGCTGCCGGTCACACTCTGCACAGCTACCGCTGCACCGTTCCAAGGCGGGCGGCTGAGCAGATGGGCCGAGCTCCGCCGCGCCAAGAACTATGCGCCCATGGTGGCGTGCCAGTCACACCCAGGCAGACAAAGTCATGCAAAACAAGTGAAAAACTGGTTTCAGGATCATGTGAGGTGTATCTCATTGAAGCTTATTTGAAGCCTCGCTGAGTCCTGTGCACTGCAGCCGCTGATTTTTCACCGCTAGACAGCTAATCCTGCAAGCATGGCGCTCAGGTTTGCAAAACCGTGAGATCCAACAAGGCTGTCTGCCATATTTGTCTAGCCGGACAGCCTGTTTCGTGTGCAGGTACGCCTGGTAGGTACATGTCGCGGCCGACCGCATAGACACGGAACTCACACTGACTGGACTTTACCATGTTGGACTGATCAGACTAGTGTGCCGGACTGAGCGGACTGACCGGAATGATACTGTCAGACTGACCGGACTGGGCCGTGATGGAACTTGGACTGACCGTATGTGTAACTATGCCGTGTCGGACTGACCGGACTGACTGAACTGTGTCGTCTGGGACTGACCGGACTGTGCCGTGTCGGACTGAGTGGACTGAACTGTACCGTGTCACACTGACAGGGCTGACCGGACTGTGTCGTGCCGGACTGACCGACTATACCGTGTAGCACTGACTGAACTGTGCCTTGTCGGACTGCCTGGACTGTGTCCTGTCGCCTGTCGGACTGGCATGACTGACCGCGTCACCCAAGGACTGACCGGACTGGGCCATGTATATCAATAAAGTGCCTTGGGTCATGCCGGGCGGTCCGGACTGACCGGACTGTGCCGTGTCGGACTGACCGGATTGTACCGTGTCTCACTGACAGGACTGATCGGACTGTAGCGTGCCAGACTGACCGGACTGTGCCGTGTCGGACTGACCGGATTGACTGAACTGTGTCGTCTCGGACTGACCGGATTGTACCGTGTCGGACTGAGCGGACTGAATTGTACCGTGTCGGACTGACAGGACTGTGCCGTGTCGGACGGAGCGGACTGTACCATGCTGGAACTTGGACTGACTGAACTGTACCGTGTCGGACTGACGGGACTGACCGGACTGTGCCGTGCCGCACTGACCAGACTGACCGCGTTACCCAAGGACTGACCGGATTGGGTCATGTAGATAGGGCCTTGGGTCATGCCGGGCGGTCCGGACTGACCAGACTGCACCGTGTCGGATTATCCGGACTGACCATACTGTGTTGCGTCCACAAACCCGCACTGACGGATCGCTATGCTCTTTCGTCAGACGATGACCGAGCACGACAAGTCGGGCAACCTGTTCTTCTCGCCTCTGAGCATCGGCACGGCGCTGGCCATGACGTACGCCGGCAGTGGCGGCAACACCACCACCCAGATGGAGAGCGTGATGAACTTTGGCCAGCGGCGGTCCTCCGTGATGCGCGCGCATAGAGCGCTCCTGCGCAGGATTAAGGTGAGTGAATGCCCGTCCACTCCACCCTCCTCCGACCGTGGCGGCGCCTACCGTAATACAATTTTAGGTAGGTATTAGGTAAAGTTATCTAAGTAGTCACCTAATGGAGTTACGTCAACAGAGTCGGTATTCATTGGAATTATAACTGTACAATTTCCGATGTGTCTTTCATAGCCTTGATGCCTACCTTAGTATTAAAATTAGTACTAAAATTGTAATGTTTTCTGTACGTTTCCTTACAGAAGTTGATTCGATTACAGCGTGTATGTATGTCCCTCAAATCGATGGTCATCAATATTGGATATGTTCGAGTTATTGTTAGTTTCACCGTCTATCAAATCTAGCCTGGTTCTCCGGTTTTATTTAACTCATACGTAAACCTAATGAATCTCTAGAAGAATCTATAAAATACGTGAAGGTCAGTAAAATAATTTCGCCGAAATCGCTGGTGAAGAGCAATCGGTACCTAAAGTAACCTTGTTTTGCAGTGACCGCCACTTTCGGGGCCGTTTGGTACGGATGTTTGTGTGTGTGCGGATGTTAGGTACGGACCTCAGAAGTCCGTCGTCCCTCCCCTTCCCGCCAAACAGATATATATGTTACAGGGAGTATGAGAAATCAGTTAGTTTGCAAACTACCTAGGGAGTTTGCAAACTCCCTGAACGATCAGGTAGTTTGTAAACTCCCTAGGTAGTTTGCAAAGTACCTGGTCGAACAGGTAGTTTGCAAACTCCCTAGGTAGTTTGCAAAGTCCCTAGTTAGTTTGCAAACTCCCTAGGGTTGTTGCAAACTACCTAGGTAAAATGCGAAAACGACGAAACAACAGCCATATACGAGTTATACATATGTAGATAAGACGCCATGAATTGGTTCAGAGCTCAGAATGAAGCTTGGCAGCAATGGTGCATAACGAGACGATGTGGTGTTTTGATGACGCTCTTTCGCAGCTTACTATTCATTTTTGTCTTGCTCGCAAGTATCACCTTGCAGATTAATGTCTGCCTTTTTTCTTGTAGTCGACACCATGTTACGTTGCCATCCACCTCCTTTCCTTGGACGTCAGCGGCCTCTCCTCCACCGGTCTGGCGTCCATCAGAAAGCGGATGACGTCGCCATGTTAGGCGTCTTCCACGACTCGAGTTGTTGCCGCTCAACGCTTCCTCCCACTCCCGGAACCTCTGATCGAACAGTTCGCGAGACATCCCCACAGAACCACAGAGCATCCACAGAACAGAAATTGCGATCACTATGCTGCCTCTCCACACTCCGCTCAGCACTGATGACCCGCCTGCACTGAGCACCGTCCACCAGCCGTGACCCGACAGCGCCTTTCATCCGTATCCCGCAGGCACACACTGACCTGACCTGTCAAGCTCAGGGCAGTCGACTGCTGGCTACCAGGATCGGGTGGAAGCGGGGCGTTGGGTTGACTAAAGATGACATCCAGGGCCCTGTTTCACCGGTGATAGCAGCAAGCTGCTATCACGTTTCGCGAGCTGACGTCATGTCGTGACGCCATACTGTTGTCGAAATGGGTAGTTCCGGCGCACGATTGCCGCGACCTTGGCGGCGGCATTAAGTGACGTATGAGCCTAAAAGTAAGAGTTTACGCAGTCATGATAGTAAATATATTTTTGATATATATTTTTTCAATATGATGTATTTAAAAGAAGTTGGGTTTAGGAAAAATTTTGACATTAACTTCGAACATTTAGCTGATGACGTAAAACAATATTGCGGCAATCGTGCGCCAGAATTGCCCCTTACGTCAGCAGTATGACGTCATCACATTACGTCAGCTCGCGCAATTTGATAGTAGCTTGCTGCTATCACCGGTGAAACAGGGCCCTGATTTCTAACCCGCGCCCCGTAGAGGGGCGGGCGGGGCCGAAACGGCCACCCTGTCCCTTTCCGTCAATATCTCCTAAACGGCTGCAGCTATCGCCACCAAACTTTCAGGACTTCTCCGGGCATCAATTTTACACATTGTGACAAAAAAAAAAAATCCAGAGGCTATGATAGGTTGGCCACAAATGACGTCAGAATGACGTAATGTCCTGCCATTTTCGACCGAAAAAAGAGCTTCGCGAGAAGAGCTGTCAGACATACAGCTTTGAAGATACAGAAAAATGATAAATACATAAAAGGTGTGAAATCAACAGGGCTACAAAACTGCTATCTCGGATTTTCGAAATTTTTTATTTTTGACCCCCAAAATGAAGATTGAGATTTCATATATCACCCAAAAAATCAAAAAAGCTTTTTGAGTTTCGAAAAAAACGAAAACATATGATAGTACCTACCGTCTTCTACCTACATACCAAATTTCAGATCGACATCTTTTTTTGGCCAAGTTATAGCGAAACAACTGTTCAAAAATGATGACGCAAAATGTTCAAACTCAATTTTTAGCTACTTTGCTATCTGAGGTCACTGATACCAGGTCAGGTCACAGAGCAGAGGTCAGGTCACTGGGGGTCACAATATGAAAGTGTCGTGTGATACATGTTTTATGGTCCATTTTACATGGCAAATGCGATTATGTGGGTTAGGCAGCCTTTGGGGCCAGCTTAGGTTACGTTCTGGTCAAGGTCAGGTCAAGGCCAGGTCAAATTAGGTCAAATTTCAAACTTGATATTTTGCATAAAATGAGTATCGATTCGATGCAACTCGTCATGGGGAGTCTAATGGTGGTCTTCGTTTTGCCCTACGTGGTCTAGAATTGCCAAATCTCGAGTTTGAAAATTTCACGTCATCATTTTTGAACAGTGTTTTTTGCTATAACCTGGCCAAAAAAGAGATATCCTTCTGAAATTCAGTATGTAGATATAATACGGTAGATACTATCATATATTTACCGATTTCTTTTCCGAAACTTAAAAACTTGTTTGATGATTTGGTATATCCAATTTCATTTTTTTTTTGGGGGGGGGTCAAAAAAAAAAAAATCCGAGATAACGGTTTTGTAGCCCTGTTGATTTCACACCTTTTATGTATTGAGCATTTTTCTGTAGCTTCAAAGCTGTAGGTCTGACAGCTCTTCTCGCGAAGCTCCGTTTCGGTCGAAAATGGCAGAACATTACGTCATTCTGACGTCATTTGTGGCCAACCTATCATAGCCTCTGGAAAATTTTGGTCGCAATATGTAAAATTGATGCCCGGAGAAGTCCTGAAAGTTTGGTGGCGGTAGCTGCAGCCGTTTAGGAGATATTGATGGAAAAGGACAGGGGGCCGTTTCGGCCCCGCCCCCCCCCCCCTACGGGGCGCGGGTTAGAAATCAGGATGCCATCTTTAGTCAAACCAACGCCCCGCTTCAACCCGATCCTGGTAGCCAGCAGTCGACTGCCCTGAGCTTGACAGGTCAGGTCAGTGTGTGCCTGCGGGATACGGATGAAAGGCGCTGTCGGGTCACGGCTGGTGAACGGTGCTCAGTGCAGGCGGGTCATCAGTGCTGAGCGGAGTGTGAAGAGGCAGCATAGCATAGTGATCGCAATTTCTGTTCTGTGGTTGCTCTGTGGTTCTGTGGGGATGTCATGTCTCGCGAACTGTTCGATCAGAGGTTCCGGGAGTGGGAGGAAGCGTTGAGCGGCAACAACTCGAGTCGTGGAAGACGCCTAACATGGCGACGTCATCCGCTTTCTGATGGACGCCATACCGGTGGAGGAGAGGCAGCTGGAGTCTAAGGAAAGGAGGTGGATGGCAACGTAACATGTTGTCGACTACAAGAAAAAAGGCAGACATTAATCTGTAAGGTGATATTTGCGAGCAAGACAAAAATAAATAGCAAGCTGCGAAAGAGCGTCATCAAAACACCACATCGTCACGTGATGCACCATTGCCGCCAAGCTTCATTCTGAGCTCTGAACCAATTCATGGCGTCTTATCTACATATGTACTCGTATATGGCTGCTGTTTCGTCGTTTTCGCATTTTACCTAGGTAGTTTGCAACAACCCTAGGGAGTTTGCAAACTAACTAGGGACTTTGCAAACTACCTAGGGAGTTTGCAAACTACCTGATCGTTCAGGGAGTTTGCAAACTCCCTAGGTAGTTTGCAAACTAACTGATTTCTCATACTCCCTGTAACATATACACGGCCGTGAAATGTGTATCACGAATCAGCACTCAGACGTCTATTGTCCCTTTTCTCCCTCCCCGTCAGACAGACGTATGCACTTACGTACGGCTGTAATGCAGACCTCAGAAGCCCGTCATCCCTCCCCCTAGCGTCACACAGGCGTACGGCTGTGTAATGTGTGTTATAAGTCAGCACTCGGACGTCTAACTGTTCCTTTTCTCCCCGTCAGAGGCGCTACAGCAGCGTCGCACTGCGCATGACGAACCGGCTGTACGTGGCGCGCCGGATGCGGCTGCGGGGCCGGTTCTCCCGCTTCATGGACCGCATATTCGGCGCCGAGATCAAGCAGCTGGCCTTCAATCGGCCGCAGGAGGCGGCCAGCGCCATCAACAGCCGCGTCAGCGAGGATACAAACGGCACCATCAGCACGCTCATAGAGCCGTGTAAGTCAATATGAAACAGCGTAAGTCAAGACACGCGGCACCATCAGCACGCTCGTAGAGCCGTGTAAGTCTATACGGCCGCGTTAAGGCAGCATACGGTACCATCAGCATCCTCATACAGCCGCGGGAGTCTCAGTATGCAAGGGAAGTGGAAGGCACGGATCAGGAAAACCGAACGAACCTACTCCAACATACGGACTTGATATGGTGTCCTGTGTTACGGGCTTGGCACTTCCCCAGCATTGGTCCGTTGGGATTATCAAGGGGTCTCCCTGGGGTCAGGTAGACGTATGCGCCGTCCCATCCACTATCGTTGTTCCCTCGTCATCTGACCCGCGGAATTTCGGCACAGATATGATCAACGGCGCCACGCGACTGGTCCTGGTAAACGCCGTCTACTTCAAGGGTGACTGGCTGTCCAAGTTCGACCGGGCCAGTACCGTGCCGGGCACCTTCCACGCCCCGGACGGCGATCGGGCCGTGCAGATGATGCAGACCAAGCAGCCGTTCCCCGTCGGGCGGCTGCCCGAGCTGAAGGCCCGCGTCCTCCTGCTGCCCTACAAGGTGGGTTAACTTTGCACCCTCCTGTTGCCCCTAAAAAGTGGGTACCCGTCCCATCCTGCTGCCCTTCAAGGATGCTTAGCTCAGCGTCTTCCTTACAAGGAGGTTAAGTACTTATCGTCCTACAAAGTCCTCTTGATGCCTTATCAGTTGATGCTCCCACGTCTCTCTGCTGTCCTTCGCAGGAGAGCCTGTGTCCTTCTAATTACTGTTCAGATCTTTCAGAGCTATCGTTGAAGCCTTCTCTGCAAGCGGGGAATGCAAGCTTGCATCATTCCTGTCTGGGTAGGTGTTGATACAGCTCGAGCGGTTCTCCGGTTACCTCAAAACATGCAATATGACCCACGCTTTCGGACCCGCTCTCATGTAGAGGTGACGCGATGGTGTTGGTGATGTCATGCCGTTCTCAGATGTAGATGCTGCCGACTGTGGGATGCATGGTTTTGGCGTAGTCATTGTTGATAGATACAACAGCAAGGTCTCTAGATTCAACACCCAGCTTTCTGCAGGATATGAGTTTCGGGCTTCTTGAAAATGGAGCCGAGCAGTTCCTTCTCGTTTCTGTTGTTGGCCTTATGGCTATTAATCTATGCACATACAAAATATGCAAAGTGATATGTTAATTTTACCTGCTTCACAATATTATACGATGACTGGCATGAACCACTGGTTCAAGGCTGGGACACTTACTACTTACTGAGCGCCGCGATATTCCATCTCGTCCTCAGGGCAACAAGATCCACATGATGATCATCCTGCCGTTCAGAAAAGATGGAATGGCCACCCTGGAGAGGGGCCTGGCCAAAACCAGTCTCCAAGAGGTGTTCCAGGCAGCCAAGAAGCCCGATCGCGCCTTCAACATCAAGATGCCCAGGTTCAAGCTTGACGAAAGGATCGACCTGAAGCGCGTCCTTCACACAGTGAGTCGGAATCACGAAATTAGGAAGGAACTATATAGTTGATTGTTCTGAGCCTGTGCTTTTCTATGTCACTTATGCCTCCGACACACGTTCTGTGGTTTGTTCAGCAGACGTGACCTCAATGGAGACGAAGTTAAATTGGTATTTAGAAATGAAAGGACTGGGACCAGACGATGGCCACCACCTGGCTACCTTTTGTATGCACGCAATAAGCGATCCCTCTGGCAATGATTCTCTCGTGCCACCACAGATGGGCCTGAAGGACCTGTTTGACCCTGGCAAAGCTGACCTGAGCCGGATCAGCCGTGGCGGCAACCTGCACGTGACCGACGCCATCCACAAGGCCGTCATCGAGGTCAACGAGGAGGGTACCGTGGCGTCGGCGGTCACCGGTCAGTCGGACAGAGTTGTGTGATCATTTCTGGGGACAGAGCCGTGTGGTCACTGGGGACAGAGCCGTGTGGTCACTGGGGTACAGAGCCGGGGGAAGGGGGGGACAGATCACTGCACTGAACTGATCACACAGTCGCGACCACTTACAGCACGGCCTTTCTTTCTTAAAAGCTGTGCAGTCAAGTCTACAGTAAAATTATTACAAAGGAGACCAAAGGGTTCCCTCCCCACCACCTCATCGGTTCCCATTTCAGAGGGTACTTTCATTTACGTGGCTATCACCAGGTTCTCTCTGCCAAATGCCGATAATCGGGCTTCCTTCGTAACAGGCTATTGAAATACCCCCTTCACATGCATCACTTCCCTCCCTTTCAGCCATCAAGATCGGTTACCGGAGGCTGGGGCCCAAGCCGCCGCCGTTCGTCGTGGACCGGCCGTTCTTCTTCGCGCTGTTCGACGCTGGGACTGGACTCACCCTGTTCGTGGGCCGGGTCATGGACCCCACGCTGTGACTGCAGACACCGGCACCGGGACCTGGGAGTGGCCGGGCCAGCTGAGCTTGACCCGGCACTTTGTGCGCCACAGCTTATCGGTGAAATCGGAGCGCACAGTGGGCTATGGAATCTCCGAACGGGCATTTGAGCTTCTAAATGTTTTCGCTGGCATGCGATCAACCGAGCTTTGGTTGAATGCCATGACGCACTTATATAGGCATCACTCATGAGCGAAAATGCCCGTGTGCATTATCGCTTCTGAGGCCATATGAACCTCAGAGTTTCCAGTCGTTGGTAGGTAACTGAAGCATATGCCGGGCTAGTCTGTACCTGAAAGGTGCCAATAACTAGGTCAGGCGATGTCAAGCAACGTGCGCTATTAGCATTGCCCACTAATTAGCTATTTAATCCAAATGACATTGTTGAACGCCCTGACATCATCGATCTAACAGTTATTAGATCGATTATGTCATCGATAATGTAATTAAGTCACTTCTTCGTATATTTCTACTCTCACGCAATTTTATAGTGCATGGCAACGTCGCTGTTCGCCTTAGCCCATAAAAATGGTGTTGTTACGGAGCGAGCGAAGCGAGCGGAGTCTTTCCGTAGATTAACGGAAATTTCTGAGTATGAGCGGCCGGCCGGCCGGCCGGCCGTGCGGACGCTTTTGCGAGGCTTATATCTCAGCAACCACTTGACCGATTTACACGCGGTAATTTTTGTAGGGTAGCTTCATTCCTTCTACCAAGTATTGGACTATTCCCGATGCATGTGGGTGACCCCTTATGCACGTGCCACGTGCAAAACGAAGAGGTGTCAGTTTTGCAATTGTTGCAATATCTCGGTAACTACTTGGCTGATTGCGCTCAAAGTTGGCATGTAGGTAGGCACCCACTAGGCACTGCATATCCATGTGCCAGAGTTGGGGTGCTGCTGCACGTGCGCACGTGCAGGGGTCGTTTCCAGATCTCGAGAACGGCTCGACCGATTGCGCTCAAATTTGGTACACAGTTAGGGACCGGTTAGTAGGGTGCCGTGCACAAGTCAGTTGGGACCCATTTTGCACGTGCGCACGTGCAGGGTGCCGCTTCCAGATCTCGAGAACGGCTGGGCCGATTGTGCTCAAATTTGGCACATCGCTAGAAACCGGTCAGTAGGGTGCCGTGCACAAGTCAGTTGGAGGTACCCCCTCGAAATTTCGCACGTGCAAGACTCGCCCCTCGCTCGCTCCGTTAGTCGCCCCAAAAGGCGCTATACTGGTAACTGTATTAGTTGAGGCCTGTAAACAAGCTGTGTGAGCTCTTCAGCTACATCTTTCTACCAGCTTGCCGTATATCTCATGAACAGGGATGGTGGTACCAAATTTGTCGCGGATACCTGCCTGCTCACTCGTAGAGCTACAACCTGCTCACTTGAAAGACGTACCAATACTTGGCGCCTGGTAACGGAGCTAGCTACGTTGTGCTGCCTTTTCTTTTCCAAATAAATTGATTTATCTTACATCCTTGTATCGTTTGGTTTATTGAAAGGGTTTATTCATCGTTATTTCGTTTGTTTCTCCTATTACGTTAGCCCGCGCATGACTGGGAGGGGGCTCTACAGAGCCCCCCCTCCCGTTTTTCAGCAATATTTTTTAAACCGTTTGACAGATCAACACGAAACTTGCGGTACCCTCAGAGGCATCAATTTGACACCATGTCTTAAAATTTCAACTTTCTAGCTACCATAGTTTGGCCGGAAATGACGTCAGAGTGACGTCATGTCGGCCGATTTTCATGCAAAATACTGAATTACGGCAAACGCTCTCAAGAGCTCAGTTTTAAAGCTAGATCCATTTTCTTTGCATGAGTGGACTACAAATACATGTAGCTATTAACCCGCGCGGGGCTGGGGGGGGGTAAATTTTACCCCCCCTCGCGAATTTTTGCGATATCTCAAAAACGGCGGCGCGCAGCGCCGCCAAACTTTCAGTACCTTTTCTTACATCGATTTGACACGTTCCCTGAAAATTTGAGCGAAATCCGTCGGAAAATTTTTGAGAAATTGACGTTTTAGTGACGTCATGTTCGCCATTTTCGCCTCAAAAACGGCAAAAGTTCAAACGCCGCTAACATCTTCATTTTTAAAGGAATCAAGACGTAACAAAAAAGGTTATACGTAATTTTACTTTGTCTATCACATGGCTATCTCGGTTTTTTGAAAATTTTGGATTTTGGCCTAAATTTTTTCAAAAAACTGACTTTTTTTGGAAAATCATTATAAAATCCAAAATTTTGAGTCTATCGAAAAAACCGGAATATATGTCAGAGAAGTGGTCTATGTGCACCTACATACCAAATTTTAGAAGAATCGGTTCAAAAATGTGGGAGTTATTCAAAATTTTATGACGTCACGACACACAATTTTTTTGAAAAATGACTTTTTTGGAAGTTCTAGACCTCGTACGAAAACAAAAATAGCACCATTCGATTCACCGTGAAAAACTGCATCAGATAGACACCTTTTTAGGTCTTAACAACCAACTTCAAAATTTGACCTCACTTGACCTGACCTTGACCTGACCTCGACCTGAAATTCATCCAGAGGTGGTCCATATCACTTATTGAGTGTGCCTATTGAATTCTATGAGTAAAATGACCCATAAAACATGTGTCGCACATGCCCTTTTCTATATTTTGTTTTTTGGTGACCTGACCTGACCTGACCTGACCTTGACCTTGACCTCTGAATGATATTGTATGCAACGAATATTGTCTTGGTAGCCTAAGAACACGTTTTGGGCGATCAGTCTCAGTCCATGACTCCATTCTTCGGCAACTACGGTGCAAGGCCGATACTGTAGAAACTTGCAATTTGTACCCTTGACCTGACCTTGACCTTGACCTCAAACTTTAAATTAAGTACATGTTTTTAGTAGTTGGTGATGAGAGCTTTCGATTGGCGTTTGAATTTTCCAAATCGGACCATTAGTTCGGGAGATAACAGGGGGGGTAAAATTTACCCCCCCCCCCCAGCCCCGCGCGTTCGGCTGGAGACCCCAGCCCCGCGCGGGTTAAACTGCTATCTCGAATTTTCGAAATTTTGAAAATTAAAAAAAAAAACATGTATTTACAATTACAAAAAATATATATTTTTTGATTTTTTTTCAAAAAGTTTTTGACTTTTCGCAAAAACCGGAATACATGTGATAGAACACACACTGATGAACTACCTTTGCAAGTTTTAGACCAATATCTTCAAAAATAGCCAAGTTATTCGCATTATTGTCAAAATTTTACAATTTTTTGTTTTTTTTTTTCAAATCCATCTATCAGTACGTTTTTGACGTCGTACAGCAACATAAATGGCACCATCGTGTTCCTGAGCTCAAACTGCATCTGATAGGCACCTTTTTTGTTGAAAAATTTCATTTTCAAAATTTGACCTTTTCTGACCTGGAAGTGACCTTACCTCCGATAAATTCAGCTGACAATGACCTCAAATGACACAGACGACACTATGTTCGAAATCTACGAGTAAAATGGACCATAAAACATGCGTCACGTGACCGATACATGATGTACAATTTTCGTCCCAGTAAACATGCCGACGTCGGCCCGACGTCGGCCGACGTCGGGGTGACGTCGGCAACTCGGCATCGGCATGCCGACGTCGGCCCGACGTCGGTCCAACCTCGGCACGACGTGGGCTGGATGTCGGATATGCCCGCATGTTCCGACGTCCAGCCGAGTTCCAGCCGACGTCGGGCCGACGTCGGACCGAGATCAATTGCTGAGGTCCAGCCGACGTCGGGCCGACGTCGGGGCGACGTCGGACCGACATCGGCCGCTGTTTTGACCGTTAAAATAATATAAAATACATGTTTCATGTTTCATAAAGAGCTTCTGTATTCAAAATATCCTCAGGAAACTCATATCTTCCTCCACGCCGCAAACCCCTGATCCGGACTGGACGGGAAACTTTATCCCATTTGGGATTGCCCGTAAGCCGAGCTCGCCCGTAGCCGGGTGCGGTGAGTGCTTGGGGGCTGCTCGGCCTATCCTTTGGTCAGGCTCAGCCCCGGCAACTCACCAGGGCCGGGCCCAGAGTCATATAGAAAGGCCAGTCGGCAAGTGTCACTTTGCCAAAGTGCCACTTATCAAAGGGACACTTTGGGAAACGTTGGTGCAGGTGTGTAAGAGTGGCTATATGAATCCATTGTGGGGTCGCCCTTTCCAATAAGTGTCACGTAACAGCAATGGGACCAGGGACTCTATATGAACTGGACCCAGGGTGCTCGCCAAGAAGACCAATGTCTCCATCCTATGATCCTTCCGGCTCTGAAATGGTCTTGTCAGACCGAAAGGGCATAACCCAACAAAACAAACCAAATTCGTTAGCTGGCTGCGTAGTGTAGTAGTTGTTAGCGCACTAACCTCGCGTTTGAATGACACGGGGTTCGAATCCCATCGCCGGCTGATGCTTTTGGCGTGTTGTCCCAGTAAACATGCCGACGTCGGCGACTGGGGGGGCTCGAATCCCGCCGCCGGTTGATATTTTTGGCGCGTTGTCCCAATAAACATGCCGACGTCGGCCCCGTCGGTCCAACGACAAACGATCTCGTCAACCTCGGCAACCGATCTCGGCCCGACGTCGGCTCAACGTCGGCTGGACTTCGGCTGGACGTCGGAACATGCGGGCATATCCGACGTCCAGCCGATGTCGGGCCGAGGTTGAACCGACGTTGGGCCGACGTCGTCATGTTTAGTGTTTACTGGGGTGACCTAGGATAACCTGGCCTTGACCTTAAAAATTCGAAATAAAAGTTCGGTACCCTCAGGGTATCTAAGGCATCCGTCAAGGAGTGCATAAACCAAAAATGAGCCTGATCGGACAGGCGGTCCGGCGACCAGAGCCTAAATTGTGAACTAGCAAAAATGTCGATAATTTTTACTTTGACCTGACCTGCACTGGCGGATCCAGGGGGGGGGCCACGGGGGCCATGGCCCCCCCAAAGGCCTAAAGTGGCCTGTTTGGCCCCCCCCCCAAAAACGTAAGAAAAATTGCTAAGAAAATATACCTTGATGGAGGTTTTTAGCCACTTGGTGAAGTAAAGCTTTCCACAGCATAATATGGAAGCAATATGGTAGCAGTGAGGGTCAGTCAAAAGTTGCGCGAGTGGAGTCGACCTTCAAAAAAGACTTGTTGGCACGTGTTTATGGCGCGGTAGCTTGGAGTTGGCGGTGTTTCGCGTGGTGTGGCATCACTGCACAGTGGGCGTTTCAGGGATTCTAGCCTCTCACAGCCTTTCAACCCTTATAGCCTTGGATCTAGGAGACCTACGCCTACGAATTACACACCAAACTGTAGCAAATTCATTAATGAACGTGAATGCATGACGTTTCCCATGTTATAAGCTTTCGCAATATGCAGGAACATGCATGAAATGTTGCATAAACGTGGCAAAACGGAGCACATCCATTCCCCCTTGCCGTTTGGCCCCTGATTGAGCTAGAGCTTCGCGGAAAAAGCGAGCGTGCTGCCCGTGATGAGAGGAAGCCGATGATACCAAATTTTATGGTCCTAGGTCATTAGTTGACCTTCCAGGTCAGGTCAATTACCCAAAAGTCGTGAAAATCGGAACCTGTTAAAACATCGTAAAGTGAGGTTGCTTTGGGACTTTTCGGGGTGCTGATCACGAATTTCATGCTAGTTTTGATCACAGATGATTTCTTCATGCATTTATGCCAGGTCGGGTCAGGTCAGGTCAGGTCAATCAGTATGCGTCCTGCCGGGTATTCATAGTAGGTGTCAACCGCTACTGACAGCCTCGTAACATGATACGAAGGCACCAAAACTACTTCGTAAATGCTCAAATGGTTGCTAAATTCGAAATCAGCTCCAAAAACTGGCCTAGAAACATGTAAAAGTCGAAAAAGTGAACTTAGGTCACCAAAGGTCAATGACCTGACCTGACCTTCAGGTGATCTTGACACCCAGCATAATGCATGGGACCAACATCATTTCACATGGTTGAGCGTTTGCAACCACAAAAAGACTGCAAACGCGCGGATAATGTGAGCCGACATATACACTGAATCGCGATTCCGGTCAAGCATGGTCTCGAGAAATAGGTCACATGTCAAAGGTCATTTGGATCAGGGTCATGAAATTTTTAGAGTAGGTGTAAAATTGAATAACTCGAGGGTACTGCAAGTTTCGTCTTGATCGGCCATTTTTTACGCGAGTTATTCGCGAAAAACCGAGGGTGGCCCGTTCGACCCCCTACAAATGCGAGGGTTAAGGTTTTGAGTCGTTGACCTCGAGTCAAAGTTTGGTCAGAGTCCGTCATGTCACGAACTTGGTCAAAGGAGGTCGACTGTCTAATTCACCTTGTTCCGGAGTTATTGACGGAAAACTAATATGGCCCTAATGGCATCATAAATGACGTCATGCAAGGTCAGCAATGCAAAGGTGTAGCACCGTACCTTGCAGGGAGCGCATGAAACCATGATTCCATGTGCC